TTCTGATCCCTCCACTTCTTCCGAGCTTGGCTCACACGATTCTCCTCGGACTCCACAATTTGCTCAGTCGATGATGTAGGCCGATTGCCCTTCTCCGAAGTGTTCTCCTCCTCCAGGGATTATGATGGCTGGCTGTTAAACAAATGTTGAATAATTTCTGAATGCTTTCCCTGGCCGTCGGCCATTCCACAAATAAATTCAACGCCACTTCAACCTATTGCACCTAAGGCCTGCTTGGTCCGGTTGCCATTACATGACTGGTAGCTGTGGTCGTGGTTAGTATGGTTTGTATGGTTTGGTTACAGGCACAAACACCTACAACTCACAACCACTGTCCTCTGCATTCTCCAAAGCCAGCACATGTCCGGCACCATCTGCAGGTAGTCCTGGCCCCAGCGCCTGTCCAGGGTCGGCCATCTCCGCCAAAACCTTGTCAGTGTCGACTGATGGAAGCACGGAGAGTAGGAGCTCTGCAGCTGGAGGTTGGTCCACCTGACAACACTTGGAGATACTACTGGTCACTGATTGGCCTGCTGTTTATTCTTGAGAGTATTTCTTCTCATATGCAAGCGCCAGACTGCCATATCAAAAAACACTGGCAAAACTACAAAAGACCAGGTCAGATCAAAAGGCAAAACAAATCACATGAAGGTGGAGCAACATAAACACAGGGACAGAGACAGCGGTGGCAAAGGCTGGACTTGACAAAACCGTCATGTCCCACCCAGGCCCACCCATCCACCTGATCGATGGACAAGTGAAAGGAAGCAAGGCCATCTTCGTCGTAGTACAGCGCGCTGGTCCTGTCACGGCTTCAAAACCACTACAGAAACTCAACAAGCATTGCCTTCAGTTGTAATTGAGGTCCAAATCGATTAAACGGCTAGTTCTTTAGCACCAAATAAAAAGGAAGCAAAAAACAACATGCATTCAATTCTTCGCCAGGTTCTAGATCGATCATTCAATCAAATTTGGGTCCCGCTGGTGCCTTAGCGCTAATGATGCCTCTGTCAACGTCTTCTCGCAAACCAAAAAGCCCATCGGCAGGTACAAAATGTCTCCCGTCTTCACAAAACCGGCGCGAAGAGATGGCATTTCTTAGTCGATCAGTCAGGGACAAAGATTCAAGACAAACTTGCAAGCAGGTCCTCATGATAAATGAATATGGTTCAGCGTTGTGCGATGGCATGGTCAGAGATTAGATTACATTTTGGAGGCCGCGGTAAGTTAAGCTAGGAATCCATCATCCTTTGGAAGGTTTGAGGCCGAGAGGTTGGTGAACATGGTCTTGATGTCCATCATCGATTCGGACTGGAACTGTCGGATACAATCGTAGACGCTGGCCACTATCAAGAGTTTTGATCCCTTCGCCTGAAAGGGGTCCAGGCGGTTGACCATGACCAGGTAACCGATTCAAAAAAAATAGCAACAAAACTCAGGGTGAGGCTTGTGCCTGAGGTACTTTGTACCTAGTGACGTTTCCTCCAACATATTTATCAACCGCCCTGGCCTGTAGACGAATAGAAGGAATGCCAAAATTGTCGAGGCCGGTGAAGACAGTGCCATTCTTGGACCCACACAAGCAGATTGTCTTGAGAGCTTCCAAGCCTGGAGCCGTTTTGGGCTCCGAGTGGGCTTTCAAAGTCTCCTCGTCAATGTGAAAACCATCCCATGACTCAGGAAACTCCTTTAGGAAATTGGTTCTCACCTCCAGGAGCGCACTTGAAGCGGTAGGATCTTCGGCGCCATCTGCCCCCCTTGCTTTTGATGACTGACCTGACATACGAAAATTGTCCAGGCACTGCCCGCCGGCTCAAACTCAGACGTTCCACTAGCTACAACAAATTACACCAAGACCCAAAACTTTGGTTTAATTCTGCTGTAAAGTGGCTGTGGTCGTGCAATCGGTTGACCTTCCAACTTGGACTCAAAACCATTGATGAGGTTGGTGATGAAGGATTTGGTTGGTGCGCTTCCGCATAAAGTTTGCAGAGTATTGCGGCCCCGCCGCACGATGGCCGGCGTCCCAACCGTTCCATCCGCCAAGTTCTTCACCACATCCATCGGGCGATGCTGATTGTAGTGCCTCACTTTGTAGTGACTGATTGTAAATTTGACAAAGCGACAGAGCTACACTCGAAACTAGACCTCCTAAAGTGAATTTGGTTGGAAGTGGTGCGCGGAGTCTGGGTAAAGGCAAAAGAGACTAGGGCCAAGGCTTCCATGAGCGAAGGATCTCCGGGTCAGTCGCAGCCAAACTATTCAAATTTGGCCGCCCTGCAAGTCCACCATGCCCACGTGAGGCGTTACCACCCTCAGTCCTTTGGAGTTGCTCCTGGAAACGTTGGCGAGCTTTGGCCACTGACTTCACCATTTGCTCAGCATCCTGCAAACTTCAAACTTCAAACAGTCAGTCAGCAAGTTGCATAAAAAATTCAGCTATCTCCAGGCTCCAAAAAGCATCAAGAGCGGCAAGTGTATCGACTGCCATCCACACAAGTGAATATGCTAGATCACGACACCATGACACCACCACCTGACCACCTGAGACCTGACCACCACCTGCCTGCCCAAGCAAACTGAACAGAATTTGGTGGGATGGGATGGGATTTGGGGGATGGGATGATCACTTTGACCTTGAAATGACATCGACGACCTCCCTGGTTTCTGGAGTTTGGAGTCCTTCATAGACCGACGCAGTGCCGTAACCACTGTTTTGATGTCTGCCAATGCCTTCAGCAATTGTGTTTCCATGCCAGTGACTTCATCTGCGTTGTTCAGCCCATCAAGCCGTGCGGAATCAACGTCCAGAAATGGAGTCAGATCTGGAGCTTTCTCTGTGAGGTAGGGGTCATCTTCCAAGGCACGCGCCAACTCTGATCGGCAAAATGCTGGGTCAGCAAGGAAGTCTGCCTGCACCGCCAGCTTTTTTCCCCGTAGTCATACTCCAAACTTTGATGATCGTGTCTATTTGACAGTACTAGTAAGTCCTGAGACTCGACTCATGGGACTAACTGAAATGAATAAGGCCGGGTAAGGTCAGGTGATTGGTTGCAACTGAAACTGAAATGCCACGCCTCCTTCTTCCCGTCTGCACGGGTGAACGTCCCCTCCTCGATGGCACTGGATCCGACGGAAACAATCAAGAGCAACTCCCACCGCTCGAGGATGGTGTAAGTCAAACGCACTGCGGACAAGTTGTCACCAAGGTCTTTGTTCCCAAGACTCTTCTCAGCCACACCGTCACCTCGCAACTTGACTGCATCCTCGTAAATATGCTTGGTAAGGTCAGCCTCTGTCCACATACTAAATTTCTTGGCCGCATCAGCGATCATGGCTTTGGTGAACCTTTGCTGGCTCAGGATTTTGCTGGCAGAACGCAGCCTGCAAACGCCAACATCGGCTGGTTGCTTCTTCTTCTTATTCTTGTTTGCTCGCCTGTGTGAGTTGGTCAATCTTTCTCCCAGTGACAGCGGGGTTTTGTACAGGAATAAGGAAGGTCAGATGGGTCAAGTGGTTGCCCCATCTCCAAAGAACCAAAACAAAACAACAATAACGCATTCCTTTGGTCATGACCCTGACCCTACCTGCGTGCTGCTTCAGCCTCAGTCGTAATTTCTGTTCCATCAGCATCAAGTGTCAGCTTGCCCAAGAAGTCCATACTCAAAGTCTTAGCAGGCACGGGCGCACGGCATGCCATAGAATGAACAAAGAACAATAGACACAAGCTAACAGAAGTTGACAATTTGACAATGACAAATGTTTGAAAAGTTGACAGGCGTGCCCAAATCCTGCCCACTGCAGACAACTCTAATAGTTACGCTAGCCTCAACATGCCTCAACCTCAACCAAGAAACTTGAAAGAAGTCATCGTCGCCCGACATTGACAAGAAGGACAGTGCGTGCGCCCTTGAGCGCTCAAGGGCTTTGTTGTCCGCCCCGCCCTTGGTGGTGACTATGCTCGACTGGCGTTTCTCTGACGCAACCATGTCTTTGAATCCCTCTGCCATCACGGGAATGTACATGCACTTTTGGTCTTCAGTCTTGCCCGTCTTCCTATTCAGGACCTTGCGTGTGACCTTCTCTATGGTCTCATCTTGAAGATCGCGTTGCCACGCGACTCTGCACTCAGACTCTGACAGCCGTTCGGGTGGAGGTACTTGGGATGAAAAATGCCAACTGTAATACGCATAGTTCATCAACTTGAAAGTATCTCTGAGTCGTTTTTCTTTGGCCGTCTCTACGATCTCTCTCTCCACTAGCGTTCGAGGGTTCCTCGGAAACGCCGAGGCCATCAAAACTCAGCACGGGTGAGTGACACTGACCGTGAATCAATATGATTGATGATGAATGATGAATGGATAGTATTTAGTAACCACATACTATACTGTATGAACACTGGCGATGACATGGCCATCGACAACACTTTGACTCTGACAAAGTTCACTTTCTTCTGCTTCATTCCACGTCCTCCACCCCGACCATCTGTTGTCAGCTCGCGGAAACGAGCAAAAACTTTCTTGTATTCACCAGGATTTGTTTCCTGGAGTCCTCTTAGCCACGTTGAGGTAGATTCCTCAACTCACTCTCACTCAGGCAAAGTGATTCACAGATCCATCCAATCAATTGATCACGTCTACAGGCTGCATACTACAACACTACAGGTCGGTCTACAGGTGGTCCTGTGGTCCTCCAAGCAGTCCGGTCCGGGAGTCCGAGTACTGGCATCAACAAACTAAAAAAAACAAACATGTTTAACTCCGCATCGAATGTCTGCTCCTGGTTGTGGGTCTGTGCTTCCGCCCGAACCACCTGATCCCTCAAGGATCCTTGCACTAGTGTCCGTTGACTCGTCTGCTGCTTGCCGAAGGATGTTTCGAAGGTCAAGACTGCATTTGGGACAGTGGTGACGATGGCGTGTACCTTGGCAGATTCTCAAGACTGTTTCAGTCTTGGTTGAGCTGCAGCTGCCACCACTTACTCTCCGGCAGGACACAAAAACAGAACACAAACAGAAGTACTACAAGTAGCCCTGTAAGCCCTGTCAAACAGAACCACAGAGTCAGAGTCACGGCGGTAGTGAGTCGAGTGGTGTCTAGTCTGAAGTCTGAAGTCAAGTCTGACTCACAAAAGTTGTTATCCAACATTGTTCGTGACTGCTGTTTTGCAACGCAAAGCTACTGCCTTTGGATTTGAAATCCTCCTCAGTGTAGGTCTGGTCACAAGCGACGCACACAGAAGGTCCTTCACCTTCATCACCGGCACCGCAGCCGCAGCAACCACCTCCTAGAAGAGCGGCCAAAGCGCTTTGGCCTATGTACTATGTTAGACGGTTAAACGTCAGTGTCAGTGGTGTCAGTGTCAGTCAGTGATGTTGAAAGAACAAAGTAAAGTCAAGTAGTAGTAGTAGTAGTAGTAGCAGCAGTAGTAGTAGTAGTAGGAGTAGGAGTAGGAGTAGCAGTAGCAGCAGCAGCAGCAGTAGTTAGTAGTAGTAGGTACAGGTACTAGTAACTAGGACCAGGTAGTAGTAGTAGTCTAAAGTGTATACAATTCCTGTGTGTACACTCTCTCGACGACTCTCGACTCTCCAGACTCCTTCTTGGGGAGCTGGAGCTACGGCCATCAGGACACAACACTAGCAGCTGCCCTGGCCCTGCCCGGGCCGGGCCCGCGGCCCTAGGGAAACACCTATAGTTCAACACTTTTCGAAACCAAAAACGGAACGCCAAACCAGGCATCGCATGACAATGTGGACTGGTAATTTGGGCCAACTTCTTACTGCTTATTTCAGGTTCGAAGCTTGGCTGCGACCACTTTTTACGATGCGGAACATTACGTTGGAAGTTGGTCAATAGCCAGCCAGTGTCACCGCCTTGCAAAGGCAGTCCTGGTCACTCACTGCCAAAACTGTGCCAAAACTGAGTCCATCCTTTTAAACTGTGCGCACTAGTCTTAGCCATCAAACATACATACAACATCATACAACAACATAAGTTGAAGTCTCAAGTTCATCTCAACTCTCAACTACTCCATGTGTCAAACAAATTCAACCATAGTACATTTTGGATGGTCTCTCTCAGTCGATGTCGTCAGCACAAATGCCCGGTTCACAGCTTTCAGATCCTAAGCTTTCCTCGTCGCAATCAGTCTTAGTCGGGTCTGTCTTGTGGATACCAGAGCTGGATGCCGCATGGTCACGCTTAGCCAAGTTGCCAAGGATGAAAATTAACCATGCAGAGAAGCAAGCCTGATTGAAGGAGTTACCGGCAAGCCGTCGTTGAGCAGCAGGCGAAATCACATCTGGATTGAATGGTGGAGTTTCAAGGCCCACAGCGTCCAGACTGTCTTTCAAGAGCGGAAGCCCTTGCATCTCGAGAATTTCCTGAGGACGATAAATTGTGCGGACGTGACGTGTGACATGTGTAGAATCCAAATCCAAGCCAACCTAAATAGTAACTGACTAACAGAGCGAGCGCAGCGCTTGTGGTGAAGAAGAATGCACGTTCAACATCCTGATCTCAGGGGCTGGCTTTGGGTGTGTAGGGGCGGCAAGCTCGCACAGCCCACAGGCAATGCAAACTTGCCAGCAGAACCGGCACATACACTCCAAAATGCTCCTGAGCGCGCAGAAACCTTGAAGTTAACCAGGTACGTATACATAATCCAGTGAGCAGTGAAGCATCACACTTGGTTATCACCTTTGCAACTGCAAGTCTGCAACTGCAAACTCAAAAGGAAAATGCAATCCAAACCACTTGAAAACCGACATTCTGGTCCAAATTAATTGCCACTTCGACCTTGTCATTGTTTGAAAGAAGCTCTTCCATCTTTGGTAAGCGTAAAGCAGTGTCCAAGTTGACACTTGCCGCCACAGGTAGCAAGTCCTTGAAGGGCAACGTTGCAGACTTCTTGGCCTTGGCGCCGCGCTGTGACCCCCCCGCCACTAGTAGAGTCAGAGTCAGAGTCAGGCTAGTCCAAAGTTACAGTCAAGCAATTGTTTAAAACAATAAGTGGAGTTGAAGATTGCTAGGAGTGGGGGGATCGCTGCATGACGAGGCAAACCAGAGTTGTGCAAAGACACGTTGTCAGCCATTGTGTACCGCAATTTGTTTACCTGCAAAGTCGCCAAGTCTAAGTGGCACGGCGGTGATGATAATGGATTGATCATCAACAACGAGACCAAAAGCCAAACTCCCAAACGAACCAAACCCATGCCTGCCTCCTCCTCACAATCTCCCAGGAATACACCAGCGTGCATCTCTGTGCCGGGTGAAATGAACAACCTGTATAATTCATCAACTCCAGCTGTCAGATCCCAATCAGGGTGTACAAGGACAGTGTAGGACCTACTCCTCTGAATGGGCATGCCAAAATCCAAGGGCCGTGTGAGCACATTTCGGATACCATACCCTTCGAAGACTTCTCTGATGTTTCCATTTCCTTCAGTGGAGACCTTCCACTGAAATGACCTTGTGCACTCGTGCAATATGAGACTTGGTCGCAACCGACGAGCCAGGGATATGAAGATTGCAAAGGGCAATACGCTCTCACCCAGGAATCCACGGCGCGAGCCCATGCTCGACCTGCAAACAAAGATCAGCAAACAGGAACCCTGCGACCTTGCCCTGCCCTGCCACTTGAAAAAGTAAAGAGTGGGTCAGCAGCTGTTCATTGCATGTAGTAAGATTGCACAACCCTCAATCGTGGGCGCTTAGATCTTTGTCGGATTCAAAGATTGACCTAAGCCCCCCGACCAATCAACACAGGTGCTCCCAGCACAAAGAACCAAGAATGGCAGGTTGGCAAGCTCGTTGAGCGAAACCTAATACACGCAGCAGGTGTCCAGGAGTCCAACTGTATTAACTGATCGACATAGTCAGGAGAGCTTCACCCTTCACCAGGTCACCAGGGAAAGGACCAGGAGAGGATTGAGAAGGAAGGTGACCAGGTGACTAAGAAAACCTAAAACCAGCACTACTACAGATATAGTTACAATATAATCACACTTCGACATTGGTTTTCAGTTAACTCAATTGCCAGGAAAAAATGGTGATGGAACGGCACGGTGAAAGGTCCGATGAGTTGAAGGTGTTTCAACAAAAGGTTTGTTCACAATGACATGTTGCAAAACGCGCGGCTGCTGGAGGAAGAAAGGTTTGGGGCCCTGGGGGGAAAGTATCATGAACAACCATGGAAGCAAACAAGATCAATTGGACAGCTTGTTCAACCGTTGAAGCAGGTACACATCCATGGCCAGTGGATGCTTCCCTCTCTGATGCACAGCTTCGTTGGACAGAGTAGCATCAGAGAGCTCTGTCCCCCTGCACAACTAGGTGATTGAAAGAACCCTTTGAGACAGGGCTGGACACACAGACACAACTCAACACACACACAGATATATATATATATATACATATGGAAAGTTCGACCCGTCCCGTCGGCCCGCCGTCGGACCAGACCGACCATCAACCGTGGACCAGAAACGATATTGTCGCTGCCGGTGCTGTTGCCATGGCCATACTTCAAGTTCTCCACAAAAAACACCTTCCTTAAGAAGCCTGTGGTTCTCTATGTGGTCAACCAAATCCATCACAAGCTTCTGCGCAAGCTCCGCTGCTTGCTTCTTAGGTGTCTTCTCAAAGGGGTCCCGTTTACCAATGATTGCTTTCTTCTTCTGGCCACCTGCCTTCAACTTCGCCTTGGCGGCAGCGGCAGCAGCCGCTGCAGCTTTGAAAATCTCCGAGCACTGTTCCTTCGCCTGTTCCATGATCTCTTGAAGCTGCGGCATGGCTTCCGCAACCAAAAAATCCTCGAGACTGTTCACCAAGTATTTTGGCGGATCCTCGGTCTCTGT